AGAAGATCCAAAGCAGGCTCCATGCTGACAGCAAAGAGCCTGATTCGGGGCTTGAACTCACGAACCATAAGATCATGACCTGAGCCAAAATCAAGAGGCAGATGCTTAACCAACTGAGCCACCCAGGTGCCCCTGTTGTTAATATTTTTAGCATTATCATACAATAAGATTGACTTTCGTTTTTCTTTTGGTGTACAGTTCCATAAACTTTAACATATGTATAGGGGTGCCTGGGTGGCTCAGTCGGTTAAGCGGCTGACTTTTGATTTTGGCTCAGGTCATGGTTTCACTGTTTGTGAGTTCAAGACCTGCATCGGGCTCCATGCAGACAGTGCAGTACCTGCTTGGTATTCTCTCTCTCCCCCTCTCTCTCTGCCACTCCCTGCCTCTCTCCCTCTCTCTCTCTCAAAATAATAAACTTAAAAATGTATAAATTTATGTAGCCAATGCCACAATAAGGATACCCCAAAACTTCCTTGTGCTGTTCCTTTATATTCACATCCCCTACTCATCCTAACTCTGGCAACCACTGTTGCCCATCACTAGAGTTTTATCTTTTCAAGAATGTCAAATAAATAGACTCATACAGTATGTAACCATTTGAGACTAGTTTTCTTTACTCAGTATGTCTTGGGATTCATACAAATTGTTACCTGTATCACTAGTTTATTCCTTTTTACCCCAGTTGAACACTTAACTTGTGCCAAGTGCTACGCTAAGCATTTTGATACATCTCACTTGATCCTCACAGATTCCCAAAAGGAAAGTAATGTTATACCCATTTTATAGATGCGAGATCTAGAGCTCAAAGTCACAGGCTGTAAGCCAGGGTCCAGGACTAATCCCAGACTCAGAACCATTTATGAAATTGCTGTTCCTAGATGACAAAAAGTGAGGTATGGGGGAGACAGTACTATCTCCTGGCTGGAATTCTGGAAGATGATTTGTGGATCCTTCTCTTTCCCCACAGCTTCCCAGAAATGCTTGAGATTCCATTCATACAACTGGTGAGTGTGAAGCAAAAGCCCTTGCAAGACAGAAGAGCATAGAAATTAGGGGTCCAGGATGGAGTTCAAATCCCAACTGTCACTCTTAAGGTGTGTAATCTCAAGTAAGCTGGTAAATCTCCCTGGGCCTCAGTTTTCCTGTCTTTAAAATGGGATAGTAGCAAGCAGGGTTGGGATATAGATTAAATGAGATAAGAAATAATTAACAAAATATCACACGTGATAAGCACTCAGTGAACACATTTATTCTTACAGTTCCTTTACACAGACCTCCACCCACCTCAGTGTGGCAGGAAGACTGGTTTATTCACTAGATATGAATTGTGTCCCTACTGTTTGCCAGGCCTTGGGCCGAAAGCTTTGCGGACATGAGTTTATTGAACCTTACAAATTATCTGAAGTAGATATTGTTATGAACCCCACTTCACACATGAGGAAACTGGAGCTCGTAGAGGTGAAGTTCTTTGCCAGATCCCTCAGCTAGGAGGACAAAGTAAAACGAGACGGAAGCCTCGAATGTTTGGTGGGACTGAAGCTAGGGAGACAGGATGCAGAATTTGGGCATCCAAGACCTACCAATGGTCCTGGAGTTCAGGGAAGCAGTGACAGCAAACCCAAGAAACAAGGTGGCTGGGAGACCGCTCTGGACCTTCTTTACTCCCCGGCTGGCAGGCATTGGGACCACTTCTTCCAACAAGGAAGTCCAGCAAAAGCATTTGAACTTAAAAAAAAATTTTTTTTTAATGTTTTATTTCTGAGAGAGAGAGCAGGGGAGGATCAGAGAGAGAGGGAGACAGAGAATCTGAAACAGGCTCCAGGCTCTGAGCTAACTGTCAGCAGAGCCCAACGTGGGGCTCGAACCCATGAACCATGAGATCATGCCCTGAGCCGAAGTCAGATGCTTAACCGACTGAGCAACCCAGGCGCCCCGAAGCAGTTGAATTTTTAAGAGCCAGAAATTGACTCTTTCCTAAATCCATGAGATTGCATACAAGCTATCGGCTGCAATTAAGCCAAAGGTTACAAACTCAAGAGCCAGACTGACAGGGTTCAAATCCTGGCTCTGCCACTCTTACCAGCTGCATTGACCTTGGGCCAGTTATTTCACCTGAGACCATTCCTTCAATTGTCAAATGAGGTTAATAATATAGCCGGCTTCACAGGATTGTTGGAAGAATGTTTTATTACATGTAAAGAACTGTAACACATAGTAGGGGCTCAGTAAATGTTAACTGTCGTTACTATGATTATTGCTGCAGGGGCATGTACATAGGAGGGAAGCAGGCCACAGTGACACCTGTGCCCTGGAAAGCACAGGGCAGCCCTCCCCAAAGGGGTGGGTGTTATTCAGCCATAGTCATTATTACCAGGCAGGAAAAGGAGTCCACAATGACCAGACCTTCTAATTTTCCACTCAAAGCCACGCTGGCCTCCTTTCTACTCTCAACGCAGCATCCAACAGGCATGTTTTTGCCTCAAGGCCTTTGCACTGGCCTGGAATGTACTATCCCACTGATAACCACGTACTCCCTGATCTAGTTCAGCTCTGTACCCAAATGTTCACCTTAACATTTCCAATCCTATCCCTTTTCCCCACTGTAATGGGTTTTCTCTATTGTATTAAATAACATGCTATTTTTTAAAGTTTTTTATTTTGAGAGAGAGAGAGAATGAGCAAGGGTGGGGCAGAGAGAGAGGTAGTGAGAGAGAATCCCAGGGCTCCATCCCACGAACTCCAAGATCATGACCTGAGGAGAAACCAAGAGTTCAACCAACTAAGCCACCCCGGCACCCAACATACTATTATTTTATTGTTCCTCCCTCCACTGGCAAGTTCATCTTCCACATTGGCAATAACCACCCCACCCCGCACCCTCCCCACTATTATAATCTCAGCACCTAAAACAGAGCCTGGCACATGGTTGGTACTCCATACTTATGGAATGGATTGTGTTTTCATGGTGCCAGTTTGAGTGATAACTCAATGACCAAAGGAATCATTTGCTCATTTTGCTTTTTCAAGCACCTACTATATATATGCAAGGAATAGGTCTGGAAACTGCAGAGGATGAAAAGAACGGAAAACCCTCCTTGTTCTAGAAGGCAGAAGCTGGAGAGGGAAAAGGAGGGGCTTCGGAGTCAAACACATCAGTTTCTGACCCAATTCTCTCTTGTTCAGAGCTGGGAAACCATGGCTCTCTGAGCCTCACTCTCCCATCAGTATAATTTGGGGAAGAATCATGCCAGTTCTCTCCTCACTGGGTTGTTGTGATGAGTAACAAGTGTGTACATCAAGTGCCTTAGCACAGTCCAGCCACAAGGCGAGTGTGTGATTCAGTCTTTCATTTAAGGATTTAGTGAGTGGCCTACCACGTGGCAGGAACGGCGCCACTTGCTGTGGTCGGGCTACAGAGGGAAAGTTGCTACTTACATGGAGTCCTGGATTAATGGAGGTGGGGTGAGGGAGCAGTGACAACAAATATACTATATAAATACATGTACTACATATATATTATACCTCACATATTGCATAGGAATTATTAGGCAGTAGTAATATGAAAATAAAAGGTAAATGAACAGAAAGGGAACAGGTTATTTTAGATAGGTCCCCAGAGGTGACCTTGAATAGACAGCTGATGGAGACCAGGGAGTGAACTAGGATTGGGCAATCCAGGCAGAGGGAACAGCAAGTCCAAAGATTCTTTAGTAGCAGTGATCAAGTGGAGGAAGTTTGATGGCTGAAAGAGATTGAAAGGGATGGGAGAAATCAAGGAAGATAGTGCAGGCTGCTGACCCTGGCTTTCACTCTGCATGAGATGGGGAGACGCTGGAGGGTTGAAGACGGATTCTTTGGTTTTCAATATCACTCCAGCTGCGTAAGATAAGGGGAGTGGTAGAAGTAGAAAGACCAGGAACCAAGGCTTGGAAGATGGTTTCAACCAGCAAAATGACAGAAACAGATTTTAAGAGGGGTAAATTTCAGATGTATTTTGAAGGCAGAAACCAGTAAGGATTTGCAAAGGTCTCACACACACCAATGAGAACATTGAGTTAATTCCCAAAGTTTTAAGCCTGAGCGACTAGACTGAAGGGGTAGCCAATACCTGGCTGTGGGAGAGGCAGCCAGGGGGTAGTGGGATCAGGAGTTCCTATTTTGAAATTTAAATTGAATGCCCGAAGGGGAACACAAGTCTGGAAATGTAGCTTAGGGACCACAGGTTTTAACGCCCTGACAAATTCAGGAAGGTCAGCTGGCTGAATTCAGGGATTTGAAAATCACTTAACCTTATGTTCTGCAGGTCAGTAATCCAGGGACAGATTGGATGGGTCCTCTTCAGGGTCTCTGGTAGGCATAAAGGTGCCTGCAGGGATTCCAATCACCGAAGATTTGACTGGGGAAGGATCTGCTCTCCAACTCAGTCCTTGGCTACAGTTCACCTTGCAGCATAGACCTTTTTAAGAGGAGAGCTTGCTTCATCAAGGTAAGCAAGCCAAAGACAGATATGAAGGGAAGTAGCAAGAGAATAAGCAAATCAGGAACTGAATCTCCAGTGGCCTATCCTCATTTTCTATTCATTGGAAACACTAAGTCCAGCACACTCAAGGAGAGGTGATCACAGGAGTCCCTACCAAGAGCCAGCTTAGAGGCACAATATAATTAAACGGTCCAGTGTGGAATGCCATCTAATCTCAGGTTAGATTATTGGTGGGGAAGGGTAGGAAGCACTGGGAGGCGACAAAGGAAAATTGGCCAGTCTGATACTTTCCAAATTAAGTATAGCCCCAATCCCATTTACTAATCTCGTTAAGTCACCTATAAAGCAAAGAACCTGTGCTTTAGTCTATACAATCCTGTTTAGAAGCACCCGTGTAACTGTACAAGTTTGGGATCTGCCTTCCATTTGCTGTCCCTGGAGTTTGAACCCTGTACACATTTGGTTGTTAATTACTCCTGGTTCGAGGTTTATCTCCATTAACCAAATACAAGAGCATTTTTTAAAGATTTTTATTTTTACTCTAGACTTGGAAGAATGCAAGTTAGAAATTTTACTCAAGTTCAACAATAATTCTTGGCCCTTCAAAATGGGCACAGGCCTCTTAACGGTCTTCAGGTTACACAAAAGCCTTGTAAGACTGATTCAGCCAGAACCATTATTTCTTTTTCAAGGTCTGTATTCGAACTCCACAGATGGGAAACTCCTTAAAAAGAAAAGATTATGATCAATAACACTGACATGTAATTCTGATACAAAAAGCTTATTTGGGACATGAGACACACCTATTTAAGACTTCAGGAACTAGACAGATGTTCATTAGTACCAAACCAAACCAAGCATTCTAGAAGCAAGCTGCCATGTTCAAGAGTTCCACGTAGCAAGGATTTTCTTAAAACAAAAAAACCTAACTGAAACATAACATGGAGCTTCCTTCTTTTATTATCTGCCAAAGCAGAATTAACTGTTCATTTTTTCCTTTCTTCTAAGACATAGTAGTACCAATAGCTTAACAGTCCTACTCTTAATTCTCCCCTTCTGTTTTATATACCCATTTGGGAAGTGGGTCTCCATTCCCCAGCCAGCAAACACCACCTCTGGGGGTGGGGGAGGGCCGGCACATTTAACCATCTTACAAGGAGGGTGACAAATAATGCCATTTGCAGAAACCTCACCTGTTATGGGACAGACTGAAACAGCAGACCAGGCTGCATCAATCTACTTACTGTAGTCCTGTAGCCCACAGGGCTTTGGACCTGTAAGAAGTTAGCAAATAAAACCAAGATAAACGACCCAATTCCTGGGAGGAAAAAGGCAGAGCCAAACCCCACTAAAAACAAAAGCCACATAGAAGGATAGGGATAGAGGTTATCTCTGGGGCCAATGCATCAGACAAAACACTGGCTAATGGTTCAGTTAGATCAACATGGTCGATCTGATGGGGAAAAAAGTTATGTCATCAGCTGCAATGGCCAAATTTGAGTTGGACGAGAACACAAGGACAACCCCATATTTAAAATTAAAGTAAAAGGAAGGGTGCCTGGATCGATCAGTCGGAAGAGCACACGGACTCTTGATTTCAGTGTTGCTGAGTCTGAGCTGCATGCTGGGTGCAGAGCTCACTTAAAATGTAAAAGAAAAGCAGTTAAGTACCTGTCCCGTCTCCAGATCCTGTCTATTCAGCCATGTGGACATCACCAAGCGCTTCCTGCTCCTGGGCCACTGGAAAGTCGGTTTTCTGCCAACAGTAAATGTGAGATGAGAAAACGGGAGGTCCCATCAGCTAGATGCCCAAGGGAGTGGGGAATAGAGGAGCTGCTCAAACTGGCATATCAGACAGAAACTGGCTTAGAAAAGTTAGATCAACATGGTCGATCTGTTGGGGAAAAAAGTTCAGTCATCATGTATGCCAGAAGGGAGCTCTTATTCTCTTAAAGTCCCCACGTGGGGCACCTGGCTGGCTGGGTAGAGCATGTGACTCGACCTTGGGGTTGTGAATTCAAGCCCCACACAGGGTGTAGAGATTAAAATTTTCAAAGCAGCATCTAGGGACACTGGGGTGGCCCAGTCGAGATTCCCTCTGGGCCCCCTACTTTGGCCTCTCGTCCCACACACTCAAAATAAACCTTAAAAAATTAACATCTATTCACTTTAAAGAGATTATTCCTCAGAGCGTCTGGGGTTTCTGCTCAGGCCATGATCTTACAATCCATGAGATCAAGTCCTTCATGAGGCTCTGCACTGACCCTGAAGAACCTGCTTGAATCCCCTCAAAATAAACACTGAAAGAAAAAAAAAAAAAAAAAAAGGAGAGGCACCTAGGTGGCTCAGGCCAGGCCTCACGGTTTGAGCTCGAGTCCCCCATGGGGCTCGCGGCTGTGCGTGCAGATCCTGTCTCCCCCGCTGCTCCTCCCCCGCTCACGCTCTCTCCGTCAGAAACAATCTTCCCTTCTTTCCCCCAAGTCCGCCGAGCAGATGAAAAGGGTCCCCACAGCCCGCGTGTCCGACAATACGACTGGAGACAGAAGCTTACCCCAGGTCAGGCGCCCGAAGGCTGGAGACGTCTACGTGGGGCTCTCTTGGAGGCCCAGCATCGAGTACCTCCTCCTAGATCCATCCCGTACCCTCTGATCGCGCTAACCTGCGAGCCAACAAAAAAAGCGCATCAATCGCCATCTTCCTGCGGTTGGAAAAGAACATAGCTGGGCCTCGAGAGGCCGGTTATCAGAACTAACTGGCAAGTGTTCAAAGACATCATCACTGTCGATCTGATGGGGAAAAAAACGAAGTCATCATTTATACCAGCCAAGGACTCCTGAAGTCCGTACACGGGCGCGGGTTTTTCCAGTTTCAACTGGCCTCCCCGACGCCTTAAGGCCTATTTAGGGTCAGAGCAAGGGGGCACGGCAAAGAGGAAAACGGAGTAATAGAGATCTCGAAGGGAAAACGACGGGATCTCCACTCACCACACACAGTAGCAAAGCCGAGTTCCCGGGATCGGACCTCATGGGATGAAGAGGATGAGGCACGATGCAAACAGTAGAGCAAACGCCAGAGCCAAGACGCGAAAGAACGAAGAGCTCCCCTGACCTCTCTTATATAACCAGAGGAGGCTCTCGCGCCTGCGCACTGTACCGAGTGGCACTTCTCGTTCCCTCCCGCGCCACGTGGGGCTCTCTGGGAAATGTAGTCTCGGAGCAGTCGGGCCCGTGGCGATCTAGTGGTTGTCAAGTCCGCTCTAGCCCCGCCCCCTTCCCATACTCTCGGGGCCACAGAGGCTCTTCCGCCTCGCCGCCATGTCGCGCTTCACACGCACCAAGCCGCCCGACGGGTTCCCCCTCCTCCGGGGCGGGCCGAGGCCTGCGACGGCCCTGGGCGCTGTTAACCCGCCCTCCGCAGTCCCCTCCCCTCAGCCGCGCCCGCCCGAGTCAGCCGGCCCCGCCGCCGGGGGGAGCTGAGGCGACGCCAGCCGGTCCACCTGCCCCTGGCGGGCCTGAGGGCGGGGACGTCGGCAGAGCCCCAGGGCCCGGCCCCGTCGTTCGCAGCCGAGGTCTCCTCCTCCTCCTCCTCCTCCAGCGCCACCGCTTCTCCTCTTCTTCCTCCCCTCCTCCCGGCCCGTCGCTCCGCCCAGAGTCTGCGAGGGGAAAGGAAACCGAAAGTGCGCGGCGCCGGGCGGGGCCGCGGACCTGCCTGGGCCAGACCCCGAGCACCGGTCGCGGCGGCCGCAGCTGCGAGAAGTCGAGCCGTAGCCGGGTGAGTGACCCCCGGCCCCGCACCTACTTCTGCCCGCCGCGACCCGCGGCGCCCGCGCCGCTCAGCCGCCGCATCTGCCGCCGCTTCTCCCCGGCGCCCGCCTCAGCCCCGGGTGCCCCATACCCGCCTCAGCATCCCCGCCGCCGCCTCAGTACGCCGCCATCCCCTGAGCGCCCCGTCGCCCCCCATCGGCCCCCTCGGCGCCCCATCACCTCCTCAGCGCCCCCATCGCCACCTCTACCTCCGGCCTCATCAGCTAGTTCCGCCTCCCACCTCCGTCTCTGCCATCATTTTCTGCCCCGGCCGCCCCTTTCGTCTTCCTGTGCCCTCACCTGCCACCGCCTCCTTCACCCTCAGCACCTGGACTCCTCATCCCTGTTTCCAGCACCCCCTGCCCAGCGGGGCTCAGCCCGACCTTCTTGAAGCCCCCCTACCTCCCCTGCCATTCCCGCCGCAGCCTAGCCACTTCACGGCCCCGGCTCCCCCTCGACCCCATGATTTTTCCATCAGGACCCCCTGGGCTCCTCGTTGCCGGTGACTCCTACCCTCCCGGGACCCTGGAGAATCCCCCTGATAGCCAGCTCTGGGCTCTTGTTTCAGCCTCTTCTTTCCCCCTCCTACCCCCCCATTACCATGCTCCTCTGATAATGACCCCTCTACCGGCTTGACCATCACTGATTTCCTCCTTCCTGCCCTTTTAGGCCTTGATTCCAAAAGAAACCCACTTTAGTCTGCCTTTTTTCATAGCATTTCCTGTCCTCTCAGCTCCTCCCTTTTTCTTTTTTTCCCCATTTCTTTTTACCCCAGAAAATTTCTGAGTTTCTATTTTAGTATTTTTCAACAAGAGAAAGAAGGCATTTTCTCCTCGGAATTCTTTTTTAACTAAAAAAAAAAAAAAAAAAACCACCCAAAATACTGACTGCACTTGAGAGCTGGGTTTGATAAGATGAGAGAAGAGATTCACCCAAAATATTCCCGGCAGGAAGGAAAAGGACTCCTTTTTTCTGATGAGGATAAAAGCTCCTCCTCATATAATGCCAAATCTATTCACAGTTTCCCACTATGAATATTTTAAAAGTCAGAGGGACAGTCTCAGAAATGCCTTTGCTGGGGACTCTGAGCCACCCACTCGTTCCTAGCCTCAGCTCATATGATGTGTATGATAAGTTCCCTTAAAGGGGCTTCCTCTTCCTCTTACAGGATCACTGTCAAAAATCTTCAAGAAGAAAGGAGAAGGAAAAAACTGCAGATTTCTAGCTCATCCTAGGGAAACAGCATCCTGTAGATGCTAAGCCCCTGGTTATTGAAACATTTAATTTCTTTCTCTTGATTCAGTAGAACAGAGGGGTTTAATCAGTTTGGCTGCATTCCATCCAAACAATAGGATCAGGGATAACTGCTCACTGATTATTTATAAACTATAGAATACGGTAAGCTGTAGAGTTCTGTATAGTATACCTGTTGGATGGGGTGTTGAATACATGGTTTTTGGATTAACAGAAATGTATTTCTTTCTGCCCTGGCAACAAAATTTGTCTGCTTTGTGGGAGAGGAAAATGAAACCTAGCAACCGATTAAGTAACTCGGCTGAAGGCGTAAACCAAACAGTAGTTTTGAAAGGGAATTGATGACACTCCTTCTACCCCAACGAAGTGCAGGGATAAAAGGAAGGAGGAATTTGAAATCACCTAAGTTGTGAATTTAACATTTTATATCATATTGTGCATTCACAGAGTTGAACACTTGTGCCTGTGATTAAATGTGTGTTTAACTCTTAGTTTATGAATCATTAAGATGTAGAAGCAGGAGGATTGGCATGATGCTCTTTTGTGTATTTTTCTGCTAGATGCTGTGTTTCAGGGGCCTTGATCTCTCTCAATCTGTGCAGATTTCCAGATACTGAAAGTAACGTGAGTGTGGAGGAATTCAGGTAACTCAGACATGGAAGACAGAAGACCTTGTGTGGAGGCCAGACCAAGAAATCCCCATACTAACCACAGAGGTGAGCAAGAATTTCTACCTAATGGGAAGGAAATTGAGTTCCCTATGAATGAGCAGGCCCACCTAAGATTGATGGCCTCTCTCAAGTAAAGAATGGCTTATTCCGGGGTGCCTGGGCGGCTTAGTCGGTTAAGCGTCTGACTTTCGCTTGGGTCATGATCTCGCGGTTCGTGGGTTCGAGCCCCGTGTCGGGCTCTGTGCTGACTGCCAGCTCAGAGCCTGGAGCCTGTTTCAGTCTGTGACTCCCTCTCTCTCTGACCCTCCCCTGCTCACGTTGTCTCTCTCTCTCTCTCCTAGAAATAAATAAAACATTAAAAAAATTAAAAAAAAAAAAGAATGGCTTATTCCTTAGCCACAGCATGAATGACTGAAAAATAGAGAGCCTTCTCTTTTACCTAAGGGAGCTGATGAATGGGTATAATTCTCATTTAAAAAGATAGTAATAAGGTGTCTAAATTGAGTGGTACTACCCAAAAGAAACATAATGCAAGCCAAAAATACAACTTTTAATTTTCTAGTAGCATCATTTAAAAAAGCAAAATGATGAGGGTGTCTGGGTGGCTCAGTAAATTAAGTGTCCAACTCTTGGTTTTGGTTTGGATTATGATCTTGTGGTTCGTGAGTTGAAGTCCCACATCAGGTCTTGTGCTGACAGCACAGAGCCTGCTTGGGAGTCTCTGTCTCCCTCTCTGCCACTTCCTGCTCATGCTATCTCTCATAAATATTTTTAAAAATGCAAAAATAAACAAGTGAAATCCATTTAAAAAATTTAATAATAAATTAATAAAGCTTAACATTTATTTAAATGAGTATATCCAAATAATGTCATTTTATAGTAATAATTGAATACATACATTTTATTATCTTAGTACTTTAATAATTTCAGCATTTTTACTTACTACCCCAAATATTCAAATAATACTCTTGGTTTTTTTTTAATGTTTTATTTATTTCTGAGAGAGAGATAGAGACAGCATGAGCAGGGGAGGGTCAGAGAGAGAGGGAGACACAGAATCCGAAGACAGCCTCCAGGCTTTGAGCTAGCTGTCAGTATAGAGCCCAATGCAGGGCTCGAACCCACGAACCGTGAGATCATGACCTGAGCCGAAGTTGGACGCTTAACTGACTGAGCCACCCAGGCGCCCCAATATTCTCTTTTTTAAAGATTTTATTTTTTTATTTTTATTTTTTAAATATTTTTTTATTTATTTCTAGGAGAGAGAGAGAGAGAGAGAGAGACAGCGTGAGCAGGGGAGGGTCAGAGAGAGAGGGAGATACAGACTCTGAAATAGGCTCCAGGTTCTGAGCTGGCAGTCAGCACAGAGCCCGACGCAGGGCTCGAACCCACGAACCGCGAGATCATGACCTAAGTGAAAGTTGGGCGCTTAACCGACTAAGCCACCCAGGCGCCCCCGTTGTTAAGATTCTTAATAGCCATACATGGCTAGTGGTTATGTAGTTAATGGCATATGTCTAGTACCCTAGCCACCAAAGTAAAGTTCCTTCTAAAAGCATCACTCTACTGCTCTGATTATTGTATTTGCTTAGAATTTTCTGAAACAAAACCAAATGGAGTCTTGCTTTTCCCTAAGTTTGCAACATGTCATCTGAGTTTTAGCTGTGGAACAAATGAGGAAGAACTGTATAATTTTATTTTATGAGCTGTGTGACTATTGAAAGAATAAGAAACAATACCAATTTATATTCTTCAAAACATCAAGTCCTTGGTCAGATTGAAATATTAGAAGGACTTTCTTTTGATATTTTGAGAGTTTGAAAAGTAAATAAGGTAATGCTTATAAAATTTAAACTTCAGTAATAAAGGATTTATATTTTGCTAAATGTTCCTTTGTTGTCACATCAAAATTTTTTCTACGATATGCAAAACAAGGAAAAGTGCACATAAATGGATTTAGCATCTAATGTCATGAAATGGTACAGTCATCTTGAATATAATGTGCATTCATAACATTTATATCATCATATACAGTTTTATTTGTTTTTTAAATCTCCCAAGTAATTCTGCCACATTGGGTCAGCTCCATCAATTTTATAGGAAAGGAAAGTGAAAGACACTGATCTCTTGGATATTTTGGCCAAATTTACTTCTGAAAGGTGTGTCAAATTAAGGAAGCCAAGTTCAGCTTCATCCACAGGGTGATGTTAGCTTTCATGTGTGGACTTGGTATATCTCTTCCTTCCCTCAACAACTTATCTGAGGGTTGGTAGTAGATAAAACTATGTGGATGAAATTGTGCTTCAGAAAAGAGAAAAACTTGAGTTTCATTTTTCAGTTTCCTAAAACAAATTGTTTCCTTTTTCAGTTTCATTTTC